ATTTTCCGCACTTGCCCTCCAAACGAGTGCTGCACATTTGGGCAATGCCAGTAACTGATCCAAATTGATAGCGAGACCCAAGTGCTGGGGCCCGCGGGCCGGTCGTGGTGGCCTGAAAAGTGCAAAATCTCACTTGGGGGCGTTTTAAGCCACGCACGCGCTCCACACTTCTATCAAATCAAGGTATGCACATGTCTGGAATTGGCACTGTAGAAATCAGCCGCGTGCTTTCGAGTGACAACAGGACAGACGACCTTGAGTGTTGCCATCGATAAATCTGCTTCTGAATGTCATCATATCTATTCTGAATGTGATCTCCTGGATCGATGTGCTCCACGGTTGTCGTCGATCCGGTCTGAATGAGTTAATGCCGCGATGTTGGATGGCTTTACTGCGCCTGGCTGAAATAGTTACGTTTTAAACTGTCGATGGATTCGCGTTCTCGGTGACGTCCGCGTATACTCCTGACTGATATCCGACTAAGGCTTTTATGCGCGGCACACAGTCCTATCACGAACTATATGTCGAGGAACCAGTCATTCGCTAAATTTGTTTGATCACGATCCAGCCCACGGATCCAGCCGACAGATTTTTGCGAATTAGCTGCTTCTTATTATCTCAATTGTTTGTATGGCTTTGGCTGAATGGTAGGAGCGGTTTTGACGTACATATTTGGTGGCTCTCCTTGCTGATGCATTGAACACTGCATCATATTTGTTATAATACATTAACTCCCTCCTAAAGGGCTTTACCAATCACGACGACGGACGCACTGCCTCCATAACTAAAAATACGCATGCGCTCTTCGTCGCCCCTGTTTGCGAGTCATGGAGAGCAGCAATTTGGGCGACATCACCTCAGTCGCACTGCCATACCAAGGTGCATATCACACGTTTGGCCATCACTAAACGCTTTGCGTCATTGATTGGCCTCATTTTATCAGCTCCAGTCTCGTATGTGACTGCCTTATCGTGTTTGATCCACTTCTCTTGACATGCAAGTGTCACTGAAAGTCGATGCTGCTGCTCTCGGTCTGTTTCAATGATTGCGAAGGCTTCGCCAGCGCTCTCATCTCGCTTTCGCAGACGTCGACGCATGTATGCATACGGGCAGATACGACCACCGGTTCGTCCCATTCTAGACGCCTTCATGGGCACGGTAAATCCGCGAGTTCCCAAATCAAACGGGTAAATCCACGGGTCCAGTGTAGAAATGATGCATATTCACGCACAGAAAGAGAGAGGAAGAGAAAGCTAGAGGGAGAGCAGAGAGGGTGAGAGAGATAGGAAGAGGGAGAGGGAAGAGAGAGAGAGAGAGGAGAGAGGAGAGAGAGAGAGAGAGAGAGAGAGAGGAAGAGAGAGAGAGAGAAGAGGGAGAGAGAGAGAGAGAGAGAGAGAGTGAGAGAGAGAGAGAGAGAGAGAGAGAGGGGATGGAGGGAGAGTGAGAAGGAGAGAGATATAGAGAGGGAAAGAGATAGAGAGTGGGAAGGAGAAAGAGGGAGAGAGAGAAAGAAAGGGAGGGAGAGGGAGAGTGGAGAGGGGGAGAGAGGGGGAGAGGAAGAGAGAGTGAGAGAGAAGAAAAAAAGAAAGAGAGAGAGAGAGGGAGAGAGAGAGAGAGAGAGGGAGGGGGAGAGAGAGAGAGAGAGAGAGAGAGAGAGAAAAGAGAGAGAGAGAGAGAGAGAGAGAGAGAGAGAGAGAGAGAGAGAGAGAGAGAGAGAGAGAGAGAGAGAGAGAGAGAGAGAGAGAGAGAGAGAGAGAGAGAGAGAGAGAGAGAGAGAGAGAGAGAGAGAGAGAGAGAGAGAGAGAGAGAGAGAGGGGAGAGAGAGAGGACCATCAGCGGTTACGCCGGCTCTGCTCAAGTCGGGGGCTGGGCTGGCGTTGCTCGGGTCCATCGTTGTGTCGGCATAATAAAGCCCGTCGCTACGCTGGATCTAGCGACGCCGACCACTCCGCAGGCTCTGGTGAGACTGGTAGCTGCACTGGTCCCGATGGTGTCTGTCGTCACCTATGCCTCTGGTGAGATTGACCTCGCGGGATGGCTTTCGCGAGATCGAGGGCCACCACAGTCAGTCTTCGCTGGCCATGCTGGCCTACCGTTGCGCTGGCTCTGCTGACCCTACCGCTGCGCCGGCTACATTGAGCCCAAATACTTTGTCTTAGACGTGGATTGGATCTCGTTAGGTGTGATCTGATCGTCTGTCAAGGATGGTTTTGACCTAGTGGGGCCAAAGATGCGTGGACCTAGCTGGTTTTGACCCAGTGAGGCCAAAAGATGCGTGGGCCTAACGAGGATATAAACCACATATTTCCTTGTAAATAGAGCAGCATAATTTACTGACATTCGAGCTATATACTCTTTACATGTAAAAAGGACTTAGCTTTGCCCTACGTTAGAGGCCATGTGTGTTCCGATATAAGACACGACCTGTATGTAACTACAGGGCATGTCCTATTCGTGGGTATACGCTTTGTGTATTGCGAGTTGCGAGCTCTGTCCTGGGATAACCTGCCCTAAATAATTGGAACAGGGTGAAGGAAATGTTATCTCATGTACGCAATGCCTCCTTCGCCTCACGGGTACCGATCGGGGTCAAACTGACCTCCCCCCCCCCCCCCCCCCCAGTATTGTTAACACGAGGGAATCAGGCTGGGGGGCTTTTCCCAATGTGAATAATGCTACTCTCCCTAAATTACCGCGCGGAAGTGATTTCGCCAACTCGACACGGGGTTTTGAGGTCTTAATTTTTGTCAGTATACATTGTACGGAGTTGTAACACCCTAAGCGTACAAATACGTGTGCATGCTGATATTATGCCATTCGTGCCAAGCGGCCGCAACGTATAACGCACATAAACCTCCCAAAAAATCCCTTGTTACAGCTCCCTGAGTGCTTCATAGATTAACTGTTCGCCAATGAGAAAACGCTGTCTACAAATGCTATATTACCTGCTGATATAGGCTTCTCAGTTTCAGCACCATGTCTCTAGTGGATGTAAAGCTATTTCCGGAAAACTTCTGGGGTAATTTTTGGTATATAAGAACCAGGATCGTATACCTAGAAAGAGCCATGTGGGAACCACGAACTAAGCTCAAACCAAGATTGTGAAAGACCAGATGGGAAATGAAAACCACAATCCGATGTTGGCGAAAGAACCAACGAGAATCATGAATCAGTTCTTCTGCGTCCCATGTCCGCAGAGGAGCCAATGAGGCCCAGAAACCACGGGCGGGCGTTTCTCATCAAGCCCGTGGAAAATATGGTGCAGGGCTTATTTCAATCGCTGCTCAGCAGGTGGTCATGACGCACCAGCAATGAATGTCACGGCGTGACATTCACGACGATGCATCATTCATGGATTTCGCAACTATCCCGTGTGCAGCATTTCGTGGTGGCATTTCAGCCTGTGTTTGAACACGTCGCGCGGCATACTTGTAAACCGGACGGTAAAGCATTAAACAATGTGACAACTGCCAAACTGTAGTTTATTCATGAAGTAGCGCACCGTCGAACTAGACACCCATTCTGAAACGCATGCAAAGGATTCGTTCGCTGGCAACTAGCTATGCACAGCACGCAGCCTTAGGAGCAAGCGCAAGGGTACGCAGCATGCAGCAACGAGAGCGTGCCCGACCGCACGCAGCAAGCAGCCGCCATGCGAGCCAATACGGCATGCGACACCAACAACACGTGCACAACCACCAAGGCATGCACGCGCAACAGGTCATAATAATTAGGTGGTGCGATTAAGAGACCGCCTTTTCCGGTGGTGAAGCCGCGGACACGAAGCAGGCTGCGAGGGTTTCCGCCTCCGGTGGTAAAGCCGCGGACACGAGGCAGGCTGTGGGGGCTTCCGGCTCCGGTGGTGAAGCCGCAGACAAGAGGCAGGCTGCGGGGGTTTCCGGCTCCAGTGGTGAAGCCGCAGACACGGGGCCGGCTGCGAGAGTTTTCGGCTCCGGTGGTTAAGCCGCGGACACGAGGCCGGCTGCGAGGGTTCCCGGCCGAGTGGACCGTAGTCCGAGCGTCGTGGTCTGATGGCCCGCGGCTCATACAAAACAACGCGGCGGGGCACGTGGGCTCACCTGTACTTCTGATGCTGTGAAGGATTGTCAGCGGCCGGTCGCGGGGCTGAAATCTGGCTTCAGCTCAGCGGCTGAAATGCCCTGAAATGTGCAGTGAAATATGAAATATGCTCTGCATATGCCCTGAAAGGTAGAGCATCAAACCATTGGGTTATGTGCATGCAGTTAAGTTGCGACTTTCGGAGAAGGTTTGAGTGACCAACTGTATCGAATCATTTAGTGGAATTGTTTAAACTATAGAGTGATATTTTTTCCTGGCTCTTTACAGAAGGAATGTTGTCCCGGTTTCGTTTGCATAAAGGAGCAAAGGGTAACTAGAAACAAGCGTTTGGAAGCAGGCACATGTTTGATCCCTAACCTTAGGCCCTGTTCGGTTTAAAATTGCGGAAAAACATACAATCACAAAGAGAAAAACAAGAGCTCTGAAGGTTGAACTGCTCTACAATATAAACGAATTGATTTTAAGTTGTTTCTGACGGTGATTTGTTGCATTGTCCTTCTAAACAGTGCACCATTTTTACACATGCATTTATATTGGAATGCTTTTCGCATGCCTTTCCGAAATTTTCACGATTCCGTTTATGCCATTGACGACTAATCACACTTTGAACAATCACGATCAAACCAAACATTTGATTCAACCAACGAAAAGGCCGTTCCTTTCTTCCAGCTCCCGCCAATGGTTAGTGCTGCCGCCGGCTCATCGCTGTCAATTAGCGGCCTTTTCCGGCACAGTTCGTCCGAGCTGAACAGTGCGCTCGCCGTGCGTGATGATCACACGTTGCCCGCAGACGAGCCGCCCGAGAAACGAGCCGCCATCAAGGAGCGGCCAAATAGCCTTCGGCCGGACGCCAGCTTGCAGGAGGGTGCGCGTCGGCCCGTCTGCTCGGTCGCCCCGGATGCTGGCCGGCCATTGTTGGTCTATCCCGAGAGCGAGGCATCCGCGTCAGGCTGGCGCGGCGCGCTGCAGACGCTGGAGATCAGGCAGGCCGCGCACGGAGGCCCCGGATTGGCGGGAATCCGACCCGGCTCCGGCTGTCGGCAACAGACCTCATGCATTAGCCAGACACGCGGATGCGCTGACCTATAACAGGCGCACGATTACGGAATGAGCATCGCAGTAACAAAGGTATCACCTTTTGAACCGCGGCACGCCATCGTAGCTTAAACTGTGAGTCTTACTCTTTCGATGAAAAGGTGATTAACTGAACTTCCCGTAAGCGATGCCATCAAGACACGTAATTTTCGGAACGCATCGATGCTGCACAACGCCGTTCGTTCCATTTCAGGAAGCACGCTGCCCGACAACATCAGCGTGAGCAAAAGCTGCTCAGCCGCCGGTGGCCATGTTGTCAGTACAAGCGGATGCCGAGGCGTCTCGCCTCAGATGATGATCGGCAGGAGCCCCGAGCGGAGACGGCGTCACCAATTATAAGGAAGAGCCCCGAGCGGAGACGGCGTCACCAATTATAAGGAAGAGCCCCGAGCGGAGACGGCGTCACCAGTTATAAGGAAGAGCCCTGGGCGCAGACGGTGTCAACGGTGATAGGGAAGAGCCCTGGGCGCAGACGGTGTCAATGGTGATAGGAAAGAGCCCCGAGCGGAGACGGCGTCACCAGTTGTAAGGAAGAGCCCTGGGCGGGGACGGTGTTAACCGTGGTAGGGAAGAGCCCTGGGCGGAGACGGCGTCACCAGTTGTAAGGAAGAGCCCTGGGCGGGGACGGTGTTAACCGTGGTAGGGAAGAGCCCTGGGCGGAGACGGCGTCACCAGTTGTAAGGAAGAGCCCTGGGCGGGGACGGTGTTAACCGTGGTAGGGAAGAGCCCTGGGCGGAGACGGCGTCACCAGTTATAAGGAAGAGCCCTGGGCGGGGACGGTGTTAACCGTGGTAGGGAAGAGCCCTGGGCGGAGACGGCGTCACCAGTTATAAGGAAGAGCCCTGGGCGGAGACGGCGTCACCAGTTATAAGGAAGAGCCCTGGGCGCAGACGGTGTCAACGGTGATAGGGAAGAGCCCTGGGCGCAGACGGTGTCAATGGTGATAGGAAAGAGCCCCGAGCGGAGACGGCGTCACCAGTTGTAAGGAAGAGCCCTGGGCGGGGACGGTGTTAACCGTGGTAGGGAAGAGCCCTGGGCGGAGACGGCGTCACCAGTTGTAAGGAAGAGCCCTGGGCGGGGACGGTGTTAACCGTGGTAGGGAAGAGCCCCGGGCGGAGACGGTGTTAACCGTGGTCGGGAAGAACCCTGGGCGGAGACGGCGTCACCAGTTATGAGGAAGAGCCCTGGGCGGGGACGGCGTCACCAATTCTACGGTAGAGCCCTGGGCGGGGACGGTGTTAACCGTGGTAGGGAAGAGCCCCGGGCGGAGACGGTGTCACCAATTCTACGGTAGAGCCCTGGGCGGGGACGGCGTCGCAGGTAGGACGAGGTCCAGGCCCACAATTGACATCGTGGGTCATCGTGGGCCATTTCTTCCATGCGGCACGTGACAAGAATGGACCTAAGATGATATGTATCCGATCCAAGCCGCCTTCGCCCCCCGTCCCCTCTCGTCCGCCGATGTTACCGTCCCTGGTCCTGGGCCCTGACATGCTGCCTCGGACTGCCTGATCGGACCATGGTCCCTGCCAGGACCCAGTCCAGAACTAACAAACTTGATAGCCTTCACTTATGTAACTAGCGCACTGGCAGGTCTGCAGGTTAACGGCGTTCATTTTCTTTCGTAGTGCGCCATGTAGTATCACAATCACCGATGACATTGCTGCGGTCCCCTTTCGAAACTGGTTCGGACGAAAGTCTTGGTCAGTCAAGCCCGCCAGTCTGTCCGTCGTGACGTCACTCCATCATTTCGGCTCCCACAGATAATTCTGCACTAACTGTCGACACAGTCTAGGTTAAGGTCTTATTACTGGGTTTCAACGGCAGCGTTCGCGGGTCTCTGACATCTTTTTTATTAGAGGGAGCGTTCCACTCTTGAAGGACATTTTAAAAGAATACTTTCATTGGTTATACTCTAGAAACCTTTAATGTAGAGGATTAGTAATTTGTTTCACGAGCACAAGTAAGTGCAACTGCATCACAAACAGAATATCATAAACAAATTCAGTTTAGTTATTTTGTAGTCCAAAGGGTGAGTCACAGCCCAATCAGATGGCGGCTGATTCAGATCAAGATGTCCAGTTTTGAGATGAGAAGGCTCTTTTCTGTATTTTGAGGTTCCCTTTGTGAATCGGAAGGATTCTTTTTTATATATGAAACCCTTCTGCATGAGGAGGCCTGCGTTTGTGAAAAGGAGGTCATTTCCTTGGTTGGGAAACCCCCTGTATTGATCAGGAGGACTTTGTTCTGGATGAAGAAGCCGATTTGTATATGGAGGTCTTTTTAGACCTGTTTGCTCTCATTCGAAATGCTAAGACATAGCTATGAGGGCCTTCATTTAAATAAAAAGATACCATTTCTGAACCACTAATCCCAGTCGCGACTTAGAAAGCTTCTGCTGCAGATCAAACGACCATCTGCCAGGTGCAGACTTCCCATTTGTTGGATTGAGAAGCCCCTTTGTGAAAGAGCAGCCCCTGTTTTCGATCAGGACGTCTCTCCCAAGAATGAGGAGCTTTAGTTGCTAGATCACGAGGCTCCTTCATTAATGAGGATGCATTTTTTAATCAGGATCCCCTTTCCTGCAAAGGGTCAGAACTTGTATGGATTACTTTATTGGACCATTCGTAGACCAAGTTCAGGAGGTCCCTTTCTGGACCATGGGCTGTTTTCTCGAATCTGGCGACACATCGTGGGATCACGAAATCGGAGTTCCGTGCTGTGCGAACGATGCCGGGGTGTTTTGCCACTCATCACACTCCACGCGCTCTTTAGCACCTTCTTCCACCGACCTATGTTGAAGCACAGATGTGTCTGAATGTCTGTCACGGATGTGTTCTGGGCTTTCCAGGACGCGGTCATGGTTAAAGGGAGTGTTCCACATTGATATGGGGTTTTGAACTGAAATAGCCATCTTGAAGACGTTTCAGTGCTGCTCACGATCCTGCCCTTCTTAAGACATTCGCCCCTAAGGTTTCTTAGCTACAGGCCCGCGAAAATGGGGAGTGGTATATCGGGGAGAGCATTTCAAAATCACCCTGGCATTCATGACGTCATTATAACGTCATTCAAATCTTGCCATTCTATGAGCCACGTGACGATCAAGGCCAAAAAATATAATCGCCGAGGTGTTCATATCTGGCGTTCGTTAGCGCGATTTCCCGATATAACGGCCGTCAATGGACTGTCAATCAATGTTGTACTAGGTACGATAACGTGAACAAACCATTGTACATTGAGGAACGTATGTACTTAGCAGACAAATGTGTTGTCTAAAGTAGTCTTTACCACTTAGGAAGTATACCAATAGTTATAAGTGAGCTTTTTATCATATCTGATGCTTGCTTTCAATATCTCCAAATGTGAAACATTTCCTTTCAACGGCACGATTTTACTGGTCTGAAAACCACTAATGGTGCTATCCGGGTTCTGAAGGATGCCTTCAGGCCTGTGAGAACGCATCACCCATCTCTCTGCCTGTGATCTTTCGACGTGGGTGAATGTCACTGAAGAACTTCATCTGTCTGGCCCCGGCTACTTTGAGAGCCCCGAATACTGTCAGGATGAGAGGCTGCGGAACGTGTGAGCAGTGTGGTGGTGTGGTTACTTTGTCTACCCCGTGTTTCCGCGCTAGGGCGATGACTTTCAGACCGACATGGCTGTTATGGCTATCCCTTTCCAGCAGTACGCTTCTCTCAAGCTCTGGAGCAGTACGCTCGACAAAGCGCTAGAATCACTCCACAAAAGGTCCGGAGATGATCCAGCCGTTGTCGCTGACGGCACCTGTTTCTAACGGAAGTGTCCTTAGTTGGTCCCTTGACCTTTTTTCTTTTACCGAAGATCATCATTGGTGGGGCTGCCACGCCCGGCCCCTTGGTGCATCCTACAGTCGTCGCCAGCTTACCCCACTCTGCTGCCGTAATTTGGCTGACCTTGCGTTGTCCTCGTTTAGCCAGCGCGTTCGGGATTTCAGGCACAGGGTTCAGACCAGTTTCATCGATATTGAACACCCTGTGAGAGGGGTTCAGTCCAGGCTCTGATGTTGCGCGAGCGAGGTTGTCGTGAAATTTCCGCACATTGCTCCTGTCGGCAACTTCTAGCCTTGCCAAACTGCACTCTTGGCCTTTTCTGAGCGAACTTTTTGGATGTCGTTTCAGAAAGTCAGTCACCGAGTCCGGGTCAGCAAGCTTTTTCTGGTGATTGAGGAGGTGCTTTATTTTCTGTCTTTCGACATATTCGCAAGCAGTACTGGCCAACGCCTCTCTCTCGTTACGCCGTAACATATGGTAGACGGGTGCGCAACTGCGCACAAACACGCTGCTTCAATTCCACCTGAAAACTGTTGCACATCACTGTCTTTTTGACGCAGAAAAGAAGGTCGTTTGGTTTTAACGAGCCGTCATCTTTTAGGCAATCCCTAAGGGCGGGGCGGGGCAACCCAAACCTGCTACAAGCGTGCCGTAATTTCAGGTTCCTATGTCCACCTTGTACAGCATTCTTCATGGGTTTTGGGCCCCAAGAAGTTCCCGGTCAGAAGTTTGGGCGAAGCTTCAGCGCATTCTGGAAAAGAAAGCGATGTAGGCAAGGAGAGCCACGTGTAGCAGCAGATTTCTAACCTCTTGCGTGCTGGTTTTACTGGTGACGACCTCGCTGGCGCCAGTCCTTCTCGCGAGTTAGGCAAAGAGAAATCTTGTCAGTCTGTAGCTTCTACTTGCATTCACCAAAAATCACACCACGCCACAATGTCCACAACCGACAGCAGTCCTGCATCGTCGCGTCTGTAAGCGTAATGGCATGCATGTTAACAAACGGTCAGCCTTATGTACTACCTCCAACAGAAACGAGTCTTAGTCACGTGTTACGGAAATGATCTGATGACTGACCAATAGGAGGCGATTAAGACATGGTGCGATAGTCGGTTTAAGCAATCACAAAGTGT